TTGGAATTATACAAGTGCCTATAATATAAAGAAGTTAGAATTCTTTTTACATGAACTCCAAGAAATATTTAGCTTGTGGAGAGCTGTTGGCTAGGGCAAACCCACGGAAATTCTGGATGCCTAGGCAAGAGGCTAATTGGAACGTGAAATAGAAATTCTTTGAAAACATATCTATCATGGGCTGTCATACATTTTCTTACACTATTCTAGAATCAGTATTTAAGATATTGGAACCTAGTTCTTAGTTATCTGTTCATAATAGCGAATTCCTACATCAAAAAGCGCATTGTGCCAAGTCCGTGACACAAGACTCACCCACTGGTGATGCAGGTGTGATGGTGATTAAGACGCAGGTGAGAAGCAGGAACTGAGACATCCTTCTAGACCAGCCAGCACAACAGACTGGAAATCCTCTTAATTCCAGTTGTCCTTCGTCTCTTCTTTTTCAAGCACTTAAAAAAAAAAAAAAGTCACTAGGCTCTTATGAAAAAAGACTTAACAGTACTGGTTGGGACTTTATCAGAGGAAGAGGATGAATGGGACAAGGTGTCCATTGCTCTGGCCTTGACCCCAGATAGAAGCACTGCTTTACGTCGTCAACAGGGCTATGGATATTTTTCTTCAGTGGGGGAGAAAGCCGTCACAATCCTTCTCCTCCTATTGTTCTCTCTCAAGAACTCCCTGCACCAAGGCCTCCAGTATCTTATCCAGAAGGGAACTCTAAATAAGGGACATCCCCTCATGTCAAAATCTTGTTTTGTGACTTCTAGGAATGAATTTCATGATGTTGCAGCCGTACCATTGCTTACGAAATGAGAATGGGATAAAGTCAAATAGTTGGCGCTGGTCATTAGGAAATGTCTTGGTCAGATGGTGAAGGAGCTTATAAGGGCACACAAAAGAAGGGGTAAGGAGAGGTGTGGCTTAGGGACAATATTCTCTTGAAGCAAACTCCCAAGTGTGGTTTATTATGGTCTTTGGTCTCAAAACCTCCTAAAGAAAGAAGGTTTAAGTTGTGTTTTTACCAATTCAAGCAGCAACACCTCGTGTTTTTATAGTGCCTTTCTGTCCCAAATTAAAATGGTTTAGTGTTCCTTATTTTACTAATTCTCACACTAAGATAGAGGTACAGGCTTCAAATTAGGAATGACTCATTAAATTAAAAACACCGAGAAGTGATGTTTACTAAAATTTCATTTTTAGACAAAAAGGCAAAATGAAGGGACCTGCATATTATGTGTCCCCAGACGACCTTTAGTAATTAGAGGTCTAGAGTCAGCCGGCTTCCTGATGGTCTACGGTGTGTGGACACCTGGGAATTGGCATGAATACTGAAGATAATGTGAAGGGGAAGGATGAAGAGAAGGGTAGAGGACAAATTGTTTTTTTGTTTTTTACCATTAACAAATGTTTATTGATTTATTTTGAGGTGGGGAAGGGGCAGAGAGGGAGGGAGACAGGGAATCCCAAGCAGGCTTTGTGCTGTCAGTGCAGAGCCTGATGCAGGGCTCAATCTCACAAATCGTGAGATCAGGACATGAGCTGAAATCAAGAGTCTAATGATTAACCGACTGAGCAGCCAGGTGCCCCACCATTTTTTTTAAAAGTAGGCTTCATGCTCAATGTGAGGCTTGAACTCATGACCCTGAGATCAAGAGTTGCATGCTCTATTAATTGAGCCAGCTAGGTCCCCCAAAAGATTACGTTTTTAAATACTAAATTAACCAGGATCTGAATGAAATAAAAGTTCCTCTCCCCTACTTTTACCTTGACGAGATGCTTGGGGCTTCTATCATTCCTACACTATTTATATTTCTTGTCCCATAACCAAATTTTTAGTGAAGGAAAGATCTAGGGAAGGAATATTTGTTTTAGAAAGTAGTTTGTAAACTGTTGTCTTCTTAATCTCTTATCACTTCTTTTTCCTATACTAAGTGGAATTCAAATTAATGTGGCCACTTTCCTCTAAGGGTTTCAGTTCAATTAAACGTTGGTGCCCACTAGGGGCCATGGGCCATGCTGCCTCTCGTTTTTGACAATGACTAAAGGTAAAAGTGGTTCCCACAAGCACAGATGTTTACAGTGCTCTAGAGTGGAAAGCTCTAGCAAGGGGTTTCTGTTGATTTAAATTTATAGTTAGCTACTTGATCACTAGCAGATGATAGCAGAACACAGGCAATTGGACCATTTTTAGCTTATGAAGTGGAGATTTGATGGCAGCAATGGATGACTCTGGGACTGAGAAGTTGTCTCCCTGCAGTTAAGAGTCAGTGCTCTTAACAGAAAAAACAAAACCCTGCAGTTTCCTGTTCCTGAGAGACCATCTGAGTGCTTCATATGTGCTGCAGAGGAACAGAGGACGTGTGCATGAGATAAACCCAGATCTGCTGCCAGGATTGATGGCCAGAGTCAAGGACTTTTACCAGATAGCCCTTTGGTTCTGTAAACAAGTATTCCCAGGATGGTAGGACTTTTTTTTCCCGTATTCCTATTTTTTCCTTTTTAGTTGACCTGCCCTTTCATTGTAATAGTTTATGATGAAGAATCTCAAATGTATACAAAAGTAGAAAGAACGATACTCAGCTGCCATTACTAATATTTTGTCAATCTTATTTGTACACCAAGATGCATTTCTAACACATGGCCTTTTTTACATAACTGTCATGTCATTATTACTACTATGAAAACTTAGTACTAATACCTACTTCATATTAAAATTTCCCCAACCAATTCAAAATTTGCATTGCCAGTTTGAAGTCAGAATTCAAACAAGAGCCATACATTGCATGTAGTTGTATCTCTTAAATTTTTAAAATCTAGAATGGCTCCCCACTCCCCCGCCTTTCCTCAATCCTACGCCATTTGTTGAAGAAAGCCAGTCATTTGTCCTATAGAATGTCTCACATTCTAGATTTGTTCGACTGCTCCTTGTGTTTTATAGTATCTCCTTTCCCATACTTAATGTTAATTCTTGTTCATATGATCTTATTTTTCTAAAGCATGTGCTATTAGAAAGTAAAAACAAAAATACTCTGGTGACACTGAAGGAATTTAATGCACTGGGGGAGTGCAGGAAATAGATTAGTTAGGAGCTGGATCAACCATTCTGCTGTTCAGGAGATATCTGAGCTTACCTAACAGTCTGAGAGCTACCAGCTTAATGGAGGACGGGAGTGAGTGAGATCACATATGGAAAATGGGGTCCAAGATGGAACCCTGGAGAAGCCGAACATCAAAGATGTGGCCAGAGGAAGGGGACACTGCAAATGAGGCCAAGAAGTAGTCAGAGATTTAAAGAAGGAAACTCCAGAGTAGAGTCACAGGAGCAGAAGTCAATTTGAGGAGGGACTGTTTAGTGGAAGATGCATTTATAAAACATATGCATATGCAAATGAACATTTACAGAGTGGGTCATTTTATATTCAGTAGAATTCATTAAAAATTAGCCTATACAGGGGCGCCTGGGTGGCTTAGTTGGTTAAGCATCCGACTTTCACTTAGGTCACGATCTCGCGGTTTGTGGGTTCGAGCCCCGCGTCGGGCTCTGTGCTGACTGCCAGCTCGGAGCCTGGAGCCTGTTTCAGTCTGTGACTCCCTCTCTCTCTGGCCCTCCCCTGCTCACGCTGTCTCTCTCTCTCTCCTAGAAATAAAACATTAAAAAAATTAAAAAAAAACTAGCCTATACATCTATCCTAAGGAAGTAACTATGTAGCATTCTGGAAGATAAGGAGTTTGTACTTACCTGAGAGAGCAACAAACTGAAGATTGTTGGCAGTGATAAAAATGAATTAAAACTCTCAACAGTTTAGGTGAAACTGAGTTCCAAAATCTAAGAAGTTCCACTTTTCTGTGAAATCTCTCTACATTGATTTTAAAAATTTGACCTACTTGTTTTTGTAAGCACCTGCTATGTCCTCACCACAACCCTTAAGAAGCAAGATACAACAGTACATGTGACATGAGCCCTATTCTTTCCACTTAATATATTCACCAAACACACCCACCCTCTGTCACTCCATCTGGTTGTTCAGTCATAGGAATTCACTGATGGGTTGGGACACAGACATCCTCTCTTGTGCCTGCTTCCTTCTCTTTAAAGCACTGGTTTGACTAGACCGACGGTTCCCATCGGGATCACCAGAAGGGCTTCTTAAAAACACAGATTGCTGGCTCTGTGCCTAGTTTCTGATTCAGTGGGGATCAGAGAAATTGCATTTTTAACAAGGACATACCAGGTTGCTGCTCCAGCAGTCATACTGTGAGAACCCTTTTCACTTTTTCCAGCTCTAAAAGTCTCTTATCCTGCAGAAAAACTGCATTATCTACACTCACTAATGGATTTAACTCTCTATTATCTATCTCCACTGAAAATTCACTAAGGCCTAACAATGTTGTGGAATGTGGAGACCTTATTTGCTGAAACCAAACAGTGGGCTTAACATTTTCAATCTTACTTTCTTCCACTTTACTTCAGTCTCAGGGATGTCTGCTCTCGGTACATTTCACACTGCATAAGTACAGACATTTGACATTTAACATATGCTTTTTGATAGGCTGTCAGTGGACTATTGCATGCGATATTTTCCTGTTTGGCGCTCATTATAAATTTGATACAAACTCTTAAAATAATGAATATTTAATCTTGGTTCATTCTTGAGCAACTTTCTGAAGTCCAGAAGACCACACTGGGCATTCTGGTGGTCTGAAATCCTGGAACATTTTCCTGGTAGTCAGGATATATGGCTATATTAGTCTCAGTCTTGCCATTGGCTTTACTATGGCTGTAGAAGTCACTTAACCACTGGTGGCTCTGGAATGGGAAAATACTAATTTTCTTAGATTCAGGAAGCATTAATGAAATGCCAGTTTTTAAAATATGGGCTCTAGGAACCGAATTTAATTTCAGAATAGTAGTTTTTATAAGAACTGTAGAAGTAAACACTTTTCCACCTAGAATCACAGGGAAATAAGGTTTTGTTTTAAAGAATAAGATGCTATAGTTCAAAAATTGAATAAGTATTTATTGTTCCAGAAGGTACATTGCTTTTTATACATATTTCATAAATGATACAGGATTTTACACATGTTCAACATTTTGCTATTTGTTTAAAGGACTTTTTTCCACATCTTCCCTCCCTTGCCTCCCACACACCCTGAAAGGATTTGTACATTGCACTGTGCTGTTTCTTCTTAAAAACCCTGCACACAAACAGGATAATGATTTAAAAATAATGCGCATAACTTAACAAAAATAAATGAGGGGAGGGGCTGAATGACTTGGGGGAAGGAGGGGGGACATGCGCCCTTTCGTTCCAACATGCGGGTGTGGTGGCGGCAGCAGCGGCGGTCCTGGCTGGCCTGCGACCTCTGCAAGGCACCTGGAGTCTGGGTTTGTCACCTAAAGTGTTTCTTTTCATACACAATGATCCCAAAGGAGGAAGAAAATGAGGAAGAAAACTCCTTGCCACAATGAGGAGGGATGAACCATGTGAGAGAAAAAGCCAATCGGCTGTGTGGCAGCTTCATCATCCTTTCCATCCTGCCCCCACCATAGTTCAAAACAGGATATTAGACACAGATTCCTTTGACTCTTTAAATGCAGATGTCATCTGGAAATATGGTAGAAAATATTTTGATAGAGTATAAGATTACTTCTTCCTTCTCTCAATTTAAGATAAGAAAAAATAGGGTGAAGAGGATAGGTGGAAGGAAGCCATAGAAATGTATTCCTGTATAAAGATAAATTGCACCCTTTGAGATCCACACACTTGATTTACAACTATTGAAGTGGTGGAGGTGGGAGGGCTCACAAACAGCTGGGAAGTGTGTGTCCTTGAAGATTAACAAAGTCTCCAGACAGGGCAGCGCCACCTGGGTGGGCTGGAATGCTGTCACACAAGCAGACTAACAGCACTGAAATTATTCTGGTTCTGAAATGGCTAGAGAGCCATGATTTTTAGCCAATTTGTAAACCTTACATCTTCCTGATTTGGTAATACAGCTGAACACCCCCCCACCCCCCACCAACCCTCTGATTTGAGTTGTGGAGGGACAGAGGAATATCAATAGGATAGTTAAATAAAGGAGGGAAATTCGGCCTCCTTTTAAAGATTAATTAGTAAAAAACAAAACAAAACGAAACAAAACAACCTCATGCAGTGTTGCCAATGATTCCTAGATACTGATCCAGACACTGGAATATACAGACATTTAAGAAGGTATTATGGGATAATCCAAAGTGTCAATTATCAAACAGTCGTAAGTTGGCTCCAACTATCATATGGATAAAATTAGTGTAACCAACAGGAGTGGGTGGTCAGAAAGGGGCACAAATAGGAGAGATTCCCGGTAACTCGAGACTGGGTCCAATTTAAAATAAATGCTAATGACACGGGCTCAGACTCTGTTTGCCACCCACATATCTTGAGAATTTGCTTTTCTGGTATATTTATTTACTCTTATGTCAAAAATAAGAAAAGTTAAATTAAAAAAAAATTAGAGCTGAGTGGGGTGCTGGTGTGTTACTGTTTTGCTGACCCTGCAAAGAAGATGCAAGAAAGGAACACCCCCAGCATCCTTTTCTCTTTATGAATCTCTCAACTATATAATGCATCATTTTCATCCGGAAACTAAGATGCTTGATTAAGACAATAGTCACTAAGCCCTTTGAGCTTATACTCCACAAAGCCTGATCCTCAGATTTTAACATTCCCTTCTTCCCTATGATCCTTTTTGTTTTTGTTTTTTAATTAAAGGTAAAAACCCTCTACCCTGACATGGCTCCCAGCTTCCACCTGCAATGCTTTAATTAAAAAGGCAAGAGTTATAAACAGGTGTTCTTTCTGCCAGGATTCAGAGGCTCTTTGCAGATCAATCTTTTTCACCAATTTGTCGAAGGGGCAGATGTACTTGTAATGGGTCTCTCAGTCTCTTAAGGTCCATTTCTGCCTAAAATAGAAACAAAAGGTGAGAAAAACTGCTAGTGAAGAGTTCAATGATATTGTCTCCGGAGAAAAGGAAATGGTCTCTTCTGCATCACTATGAATCACAGAAATTCTCTCAATTACTTTTAAAATAAGAGTGTCTCAGAGGCAAAGGACTTTAAATGCACAGGACTATCAAGGGGGACCAGAATGGAAGTCCCACCTCACAGTTGCAGCGCTCAACAAAGCCTTCAGAAAAGGCTCTGCTGTTAACAGGCCGGGACTCAGGGACCCAAGAACATGGGGAGCATCTGTTTGTTGTACCTTGATGGGAGCATCTGTTCGAGAGAAAAGCCCTTTCACAAACCTTTGCCTGGATCCAGAACTTCAATTTATGGAGATTGAAATTTATAATTTTAATTATGCTCTAGACCTTAGTTGTTTATCCAATAGTTGTGTAAGTTTTTCACTTAGTTAAAAACAAAAAAGGATTTGCTGTCAATAACAGCATTTTCAACACTCACACATGCTGGGACCTCAACCCTGAGGAGCTGGATTAATAGGCTCAAGGTGGGGCTGAAGCGTCTGTATTTTTAACAGCTCCAGGGGCACCTGGGTGGCTCAGTCAGTTAAGCGTCCAACTTTGGCTCAGGTCATGATCTCATGGTTTGTGAGTTTGAGCCCTGTGTCGGGCTCTGTGCTGGCAGCTCAGAGCCTGCTTAGGATTCTGTGTCTCCCTCTCTCTCTGCCTCTCCCCTGCTCAGCCTCTGTCCATCTCTCTCTCTCAAAAATAAATAAACATTAAAAATATTAAAAAGAGAATATTGGGCTCTGTGCGCACAGCTCAGAGCCTGAGGCCTGCTTCAGATTCTCTGTCTTCCTGTTTCTCTGGCCCTCCCTGCTCATGCTCTGTCTCTTTCAAAAATAAACATTGAAAAAAATTTTTTTTAATTAAAAAAATTTAAAAAAGTATCTTCTAGTTCAATAAATTCTGACTTGTGCCTGGCAAATACTTCTGGTAGTTTCTTACCTGGATTTTATTTTTGTCCCATTGCTACCACACATGATAGGTGGAAAACATTTGGAAATTGTGAAAAGTTTTTAAAAGGGAGAAAAGTAAAAAAAGACAACTTTTGGGATGCCTGGGTGGCTCAGTCAGTTAAGCATCTGACTCTGGATTTTGGCTCAGGTCATGATCTCATGGTTTGGGAGATTGAGCCCTGCTTGGGATTCTTTCTCTCCTTTTCTCCCTGCCCCTCCCCTGCTTGTCCTCTCTCTCTCTAAAATAAATAAACATTAAAAAAATAGACAAATTTAAAGAAACAAAAAAACCCAAAAATAGCTCTACAAATTTCAATATGTTAGAGTTAATAGGACAGACATGACCCATCATCTTTTCAGTTGCTTGTGTTCCAAAACTTTCCAGAGAGGAATCCATGCTAAAATAGTCATTTTTATCAACTGAGAAATAATTTATAGGAAGGAGAGGGTTGGCTCATTCTTTCAATATTTACTCACTGAAGCACTATAGCACCATACAAAATGGGGCTAGAATTTATTTTTATTTTTGGAAAACTTACCTGAGCAATTGCATCCTTGAGTTGATTATATTTCTCTAGGTCAAAACGTGACTTTTTGGCTCCTTTATGGAAAAATAATAAGTATTGTCTGTCTCTGGCTTCTGGATAAACGTATTCCTACAAAAATAAAGGAGAAATTAAATTATTAGCCCTTAGAGTACTATCTTTACAAAATAAGCATCTACTAACTGTAGATCAGATTCAATACATGTGCACACATATAAAGATACGTACTTGTGTATGCTGTGTTAAATACTTCCTAAACATTTTTTATTGTGAAACATACATGTAAGAGTATACAAAACAAAAATGTACATCACAATGAATCAACACAAAATCAATATGTAAATCACTATCAGATAAAGAAATTCTAACACTACCAACAACGAAGAGGCTTTCTTATGCCTTCTCAATTATTAACCTTTCTTTTTTCCCAAAACTAATCACTATCTTGCCTTTTATATTAATTGTTTTCTTTCTTTCTCTATAGCTTTCCTACTTAAGCATGCATCCCTTTCAACTCTATGGCTTAGTTTTATCTGTTATTTGAATTTAATAAAAATGGAGCCAGACAGTAGACATTGTGTATGGCTACTTTCACTTAATATTATGTGTATGATATTCATCCTTTTGTAGTCTACTCATTTCCATTGCTATATTATATTCTTTTGTATGACTACATCACAATTTACTTATCCATTGTACTACTGATAGACTTTTCATTGTTTCCAGGCTTTGGCTATTATGAATAATGCTGCAAGAACATTTTTGGGCTTGTGTCTTCTGTTGGATATATACCTATGAGTGGAGATCTAGATCATATGGTATGCCTGTGTTAAGAAGTGATATCAAACAGGTTTCTAAAATGGTTGTACCAATTCTACTCCCTTGCCTATGCTTGGTATTGCCAGTTAAAAGAAAAATGTTAGCCATTCTGGTGTGTGTGTAGAAGTACTACCTCATTTTTTAAAAACAGCTTTACTGAGATATAATTCATATACCATACAATTCACCCATTGAAAGTATGGTTTTTAGTGTATTCATGAAGTGGGCCCACCATCACTGCAATCAATTTTAGAACATTTTCATCATCCCCAAAAGATACCCTGTACTCTTCAGTAGTCACTTCCTATCTCGCTTGACACCTCCAGTTCCAGACAACTACTAATCTCTGCCTCTACAGATATGCCTTCTGGACATTTCATATAAATGGAATCATACAACCTGAGCCTTTATGTCTGCCTTCTTTCAAGGTTCATCCATTTGTAGCATGTATTGGCACTTCATTTCTTTTTATTGTCAAGTAATAAATCCATTCTAATGAATGGATATACCACATTTTATTTATCCATTAATCAACTGATAGACATTTGGATAGTTTCCACTTTTTGGCTATTATGAATAATGCTGCTAGGATTATTCCCATACATGTTTTTGTGTGAACATGTTTTCATTTCTCTTGGATATCTATAGCATTTTCCTGATCACTCATGAGGCTGAGGCCTTTTTATTGGCCGTTTGCCTTTTCTTTTTAAGATGTGCTTATTCAACTCTCTTGCCGTCTTTGTCTACTGAGTTATCTGCTTTTATCTTACTGACTAATAAAGTATGTTTATATATTCTGGTTATGGATCCTTTATTGGATATATGTACTACAGATATTTCCTCCCAGCCTGTTTGCCCTTTTAATGGTGTTCTTTAATAAATAGGTGTTGGGGCGCCTGGGTGGCTTAGTCGGTTAAGCGTCTGACTTTCGCTCAGGTCATGATCTCGCGGTTCGTGGGTTCGAGCCCCGTGTCGGGCTCTGTGCTGACTGCCAGCTCAGAGCCTGGAGCCTATTTCAGAGTCTGTGTCTCCCTCTCTCTCTGACCCTCCCCTGCTCACGCTGTCTCTCTCTCTCTCCCCTAGAAATAAATAAAAATATATAAAAAAAAAAATAGAAGGTGTTAATTTCAATATAGTGGAATTTATCAATCTTATTCTTTATGGTTAGCACTTTTCCTTCTGGGTAAGAAGCCATTCCCTATTCCACAGTAATTAACATATTCTCCTATATTATCTTCCGGAAGCTTTATTGTGTTACCTTTCATATTTGGATTGATAATCCATCTGGAATTTTTGTTAAAGATGTGTAAAGTCATTTCATTTTTAAAATATGGATTTTTATAGAAAGAAGACTCTCCTTTCTTTGCAGTGCTCTTTTCAAAATCAAAAGTTCATTTATACCAGGTCTATTTTTACATTCTCTCCTCCATTCCATTGGACTAATTGCTTATCCTTGTGCCGCTTGTCTGAATTACTGCAATATGATGAATACAGCTATAAACTTCCATATCCAGGACGGCAAGGCCTCTTACTTAGCTTTTCTTCAAGAATTTACTGGTTTTTCTTACTCTTTAACATTTTCATAGAAATTCTAGAAGCAGCTTGTTCAAATCTTTTCCCCTATCCACAAAACTCTTGGGATTTTGTCTGGGGTTGTACTGGATCACATCAATCAATTTGGATACATGTGACATTTTTAATATTTACTTTTCTAGTCCGTGAACATGCTTATTTAAGTTTCCTTTTTTCTGCATAAAGGTATTGCACATGTCTTGCATGATTTACATATACATATGTATATAAACACACACAGAAACATCCGTGTGTGTGTGTGTGTGTTTTCCAGTGGGCATATTAACAGGGAATTAAAATAATGTTTACCCTTAGTCTTAATGAATAACAGACATAAAAGTGAAGGAAAAGACATTTTCCCAAATGCAAAAATGCTACTTTCCTTATTATAAAAGGCAGAACGGTACATACTTCCAAATGCATTTCTGTTACTCTCCTGATTAAAGGAACAAATGCATGACAACATGGCTTTGTGTATATGTTAAATCGGCACAGTTTATTATAGTTTTGCCCTTTTTTTTTTTTGTAGTTTCAAGTTTTTATTTAAATTCCAGTTAGTTAACATGCAGTGTAATACTGGTTTCAGGAGAACTCAGTGATTCATTACTTACATATAACACCCAGTCTCATCACAAGTGCCCTCCTTAATAACCATCCCCCTACTCACCTCCCTGCTAGCAACCTCAGTTTGCTCTCTATAGGTAAAGAGTCTGTTTCTTGGTTTGCCTCTCTTCCCGTCCCCCCCCATATTCATCTGTTTCATTTCTTAATCCCACATGAGTGAAATCATATGGTATTTGTCTTTCTCTGACTTATTTTGCTTAGCATAATACACTCTAGCTCCATCCACATCATCGCAAATGGCAAGATTTCATTCTTTTTGATTGCTGAGTAATACTCTGTTGTGTGTGTGAGTATATGTGTGTGTGTGTATACACACATAAATATATACACACTGTGTCTTCTTTATCCATTCGTCAGTTGATGGACATTTGTGCTTTTTCTATAATTTGGCTATTGTTGACAATGCTGCTAAAAACATTGGGGTGTATGTATCCCTTCAGATCAGTACTTTTGTATCCTTTGGGTAAATACCTAGTAGTGCAATTGCTGGACCATAGGTTAGTTCTATTTTTAACTTTTTTGAGGAATCTCCATACTGTTTTCCAGAGTGGCTGCACCAGTTTGCATTCCCACCAACAGAGGGTTCACCTTTCTCTGTATCCTCACCAACACCTGTTGTTTCCTGTACTGTTAATGTTAGCCATTTTCACAGGTGTGAGGTGATACCTCATTGTAGTTTTGACTTGTATTTCTCTGATGATGAGTGATGTTGAGCATCTTTTCATGTGTTGGTTGGTCATCTGGATGTCTTCTTTGGAAGAGTCTATTCATGTCTTCTGCCTGTTTCTTCACTGGATTGTTTTTTGGGTGTTGAATTTGATAAGCTCTTTATAGATTTTGGATACTAACCCTTTCATTTGGAAATATCTTCTCCCATTCCTAAGGCTGTATTTTAGTTTTGTTGATTGTTTCCACAGCAGTACAGAAGCTTTCTATCTTGATGAAGTCCCAATAGTTTATTTTTGCTTTTGTTTCCCTGGCTTCAGGAGACATATCTAGTAAGAAGTTGCCAAGGTCGATGTCAAAGATATTACTGTTTGTGTTCTCCTCTAATATTCCGATGGTTTCCTGTCTTGCATTTAGGTCTTTCAGCCATTTTGAATTTAATTTTGTGTATGGTGTAAGAAAGTGGTCCAGTTTCATTCTTCTGGATGTTGCTGTCCAGTTTTCCCAACACCATTTGTTGAAGAAACTATCGTTTTTCCATTTGATATTCCTTCCTGCTTTGTTGAAGATTAGTTGACCATAGAGTTGTGGGTCCATTGCTGGGTTTTCTATTTTGTTCCATTTATCTCTGTGCCTGGTTTTGTACCATTCTGTCTTGATCACTACAGCTTTGCAATATAACTTGAAGTCCTGAATAGTAATGCCTCCAGCTTTTCTTTTCTTTTTCAATATTGCTTTGACTATTTGGGGTCTTTTGTTGTTCCATATAAATTTTAGGATTGTTTGTTCTAGCTCTGTACAAAAATGCTGGTGTTATTTTGAAAGGGATAGCATTAAGTGTGTAGATTGCTCTGGGTAGTATAAATATTTTAATAATTGTTCTTCCAATCCATAAGCATGGAATGTTTTTCCATTTCTTTTTGTCCTCTTCAATTTCTTTTATAAGCGTTCTGTAGTTTTCAGTACAGATCTTTCACCTCTTGGTTAGGTTTATTCCTAGGTATCTTACAGTTTTTGGTGCCATTATAAATGAGATCGACCCATGGATTTCTCTTTCTACTGCTTCATTATTGGTGTGTAGAAATGGAACTGATTTTTGTACATGATTTTGTATCCTACAACTTTACTGAATTCATGTATCAATTCTACCAAGTTTTTGGTGGAGTCTTTCAGGTTTTCTACATAGAGTATCATGTCATCTGCAAATAGTGAAAATCTGACTTCCTTCACGTCAATTTGGATGCCTTTTAGCGCTTTTTGTTGCCTGATTTCTGAGGCTAGGACTTCCAGTACTATGTTAAATAACAGTAGTGAGTGGACATCCCTGTCTTGTTCCTGACTATAGAGGAAAAGTTCTCAGTTTTTCTCCATTGAGGAAGATATTAGCTGTGGGTCTTTTGTATGTGGCCTTTATGATGTTGTACTTCTAGGTATTTTTAAAAGTCCTTTTAAGTTACATCTTTTAAAGTTTCATAATTGTTACTGGCATATAAATATGTAGTAGATTTATGTATACTGACCTTGTATCCAATAACCTTACTAAACTGACTAATGGATTCTAACCAACTATATGTACATGTTTTTCTATTTTTTTATGTACAAAATCTTTGAATAACATCAATTTTATCTCTTTCCCATCTTTATATCTCTCATAGCTTTTCTTGCCTTCTCCTTCCAGAGATGATTTATGTTTGCTTCTGCCTGGAATGTATGAGGACTAGAACTTTGGCACTGCCACTCTTCTAGGGGCACCTTAGTCTAATTTACGGGATTGAGATGATTGAAGTTGGACTATAGTTCTGAGAGAACTTACAACAGGTTCATCCTTATGGTAGCCATTAGAGGTTCTAAACCAAAGCAATCTCTATAGTTTTGGTCCTTCTAGATTATCAAATATGGATTGGCTTCTTGGCCTCTCAGCCTTACCCTCTTTAGTCAGCAAAAATCCCCAAAGGAAGAAGCCCACCTAACACCAGGCTCACCTCCCTGGGGTTCCTCTTCTTCAGGTTCTTGCATGGCGATTTTTGCTATCTTATAAGCTCTCTATAGGCAGATGTGCTTTATGTTTGATCTAACTATTCTAACTTCCTAATGGGTGGATTGGCCTGATTGCCTCGTATACCATAAACAAAGCAGAAGTAAGTACTGAATTATTGATTATGACAGGTAATGGATTAATAGTAGCTAAAGGGAAATAAAAATGGAAAAAAATGGAATGCCTCACCTATTAGGATACTATAGTCTAGCAGAGAGGTGAAGACATTATACATGAATATTTTTCTTTTTTTTTTTCTTTTTTTTTTTTTACAAATAGTTTATTGTCAAATTAGTTTCTACATAACACTCAGTGCTCATCCCCAAAGTGCCCTCCTCCATGCCCATCCCCCCCTCCCCCCCACATCCATCAGTCCTCAGTTTTTGTCAGCATTCAAGAGTCTCTCCTGGTTTGCCTCTCTCCCTTTCCCCCACCATTTCCGCCCTTCTTCTCCCCCTTGGTCCTCCGTCAAGTTCCTCCTAATCCTCCTATACGTGCAAACATATGGTATTTGTCCTTCTCTGCCTGACTTATTTCGCTCAGCATAACACCCTCAAGGTCCATCCATGTTGCTACACATGGCCAGATTTCATTGTTTCTCATTGCCATGTAGTAACATGAATATTTTTCTTAATGTTTTATTTTATTTCTGAGAGAGAGAGAGAGAGACAGTGTGTGCAGGGGAGGGCCAGAGAGAGAGGGAGATACAGAATCTAAAACAGGCTTCAGGCTCTGAACTGACAGTCAGCACAGAGACCGACACAGGGCTCAAACCCACAAACTGTGAGATCATGACCTGAGCCGAAGTCGGACGCCTAACTGACTAAGCCACCCAGGCGCCCCTATACATGAATAATTATAATACAGGATAGCAAAAGGGGTGCCTGACTTTGACTTATGTCATGATCTTGTGGTTCCTAAGTTTGAGCCCCATGTAGGGCTCTATGCTGACAGCTCAGAGACTGGAGCCTGCTTTGGATTCTGTGTCTCCTTCTCTCTCTGCCCCTCCCCAACTTGCACTCTGTCTTTCTCTTTCTCTCTCTCAAAAATAAACATTAAAAACATAATAAAATAAAAAGATAGCAAAGGATGAGTGAAATGAGAGGCACAATGTGCTGCAAGTATTGAGGAGGAGAGTTCAAATTTGGCTGTAGGGAACTGGCTAAAGGTTCATGAAAGATAAGCATTTAAGAAACCTTGAAATAGGACAGGTAGAAATCAACAGGGAGAACTTCCCAGTCGACAGAGTGATGGCAAGTAAGGAATGATGTGGCAGAAAACTCAGGGCATTTGGGGGGGAATAGAGAATATAATTTGATTTGTTTAGAACACACAGTAAGTACACTGTGGAAACTCACAGGCCTCTGAAGAAGACAGATAGCAACCAGTTATGAATATCAGGCTAGAGTTTGGACTTCAATCAATAGATAAAAACAACCCTTAAAGGGGTGTATATATAAGGTACAGGAACAGGGAATAGGGGAGTGGGAGAAGTAAAGAAACAAAGACAGACAGACAGGAAGCCATGTCCAGAGCCATGATTAGACATACTGATCTGGCTGTTTGGTTCTCTTCACACAGAGTAATGAGTATCAGCCAGATGTGGGACTTGATACTGGATACTCTGGGCAAACAATGGCAGGACATGAATGGTTTATTGTCTCTCTTTTCTACTAGAAAAGTTAAATGGCGTTCTTGGGCTTTCATTCTCTCACATTCTCACACATATAAATGGGCCTGGGACCAGTGGTCTAACAACAGAAACAAAATGCCTACATTCAATAGCAGCCATATAAAAATAAGAGAAGGAATTCTCAGCTTTCTTTTGATTCCTAAGAAAATAGAAAAAGTTTCTCATGTGTCAATTATTTCAAATGTCTTTTTATCAAGAGAGGTTAGATCTGTGTTGGTATCACATAAATAGTAGTAAGCGATAATAGATCCTTCATATCTTCTAAAGTGACACAGGGATTTTCAAGCTACTGTAAAAATAATACTGGCAATAAACATTAGTTCTTGATACTGATATTTAATAAATGGCTGATAAAGAATAGGCCAGGAGTATAAAGTGATTAGGTATCTAATTCTCACCTCTCCTCCCTGAAGTAAAAAAATTAATAAAGAAGCGATCTATACTCTCAAATACTTAGAAGTAGCTCAGAATTTAGTTTAACTATCTGATTAGTTATCACCAATTTTCTGTTCCAAGAATTAAATAAAAACAAAAAGACTGAGACTATCCTATCCAACTGTTAAATCACATAATATATAAAAATCCAAGCCAACTTAGCTGAACAAGTTATCCTACAACTGATCATTCTTCTCCTTTGCTCTCTTTTTCTATAACTTACTGTAAAATATTTTTCTGAATTTAATGTTCATACAGCTCTCTTTATAGTATGTTAGATTCAAGAGGTCAGGAGTCATGTCTTATATATATATAACTCCCTATCTTTAGCACCTAGAATAATACCTAATACACAGGTGGCATGCATGTGCATGTACTCGAGTATGTGTGTGTGTGTGTGTGTATGTGTATAGGATAAATGGGTACTTAAAGGGAATGGGCCTTAGAAAGAACACGAGAACACGATGGGGAGCCTTGATGGCTTAGTTGGTTGAGCTTCCAACTTCAGTTCAGGCCATGATCTCACCACTTTTGAGTTCAAGCCCTGCATTGGGCTCTGTGTGGACAGCTCAGAGCCAGGAGCCTGCTTCCAATTCTGTGTCTCATTCTCTCTCTGCCCCTCTTTCACTCATGCTCTCTTTCTCTCAAAAATAAATGTTAAAAAAAAAAAAAGCACGAGAACAAGAGAGAAAAGAAAACTAATTTGACAATCAAAACTTCATTAGCAATTTCCCCTGCTCACGCTCTCTCTCTCCCTCCTAGAAATAAATAAAAAAAAAAGGGGGGGGCGCCTGGGTGGCTTAGTCAGTTGGGCGTCCGACTTTCGCTTAGGTCATGATCTCGCGATTCACGGGTTCGAGCCCTGCGTCGGGCTCTGTGCTGACTGCCAGCTCAGAGCCTGGAGCCGATTTCGGAGTCTGTGTCTCCCTCTCTCTCTGACCCTCCCCTGCTCACGCTGTCTCTCTCTCCTAGAAATAAATTAAAACAACAACAACAACAAAAAAAACCAACTTCATTAGCATTTCATAAAAAGTTACTCGAAGAGGAATTCTTACCTGACGTGTCATTACAAAATATGCATACATTGCCATGGCACTTCCATAAGTGATAAAGTAGGTGACTGGCTCCATGATGTCCCAGGAATATTCCCACCAGGTGAGCCGGGCCAAAATGCCAAACTGTGTGGCCATGTAGGCAAGTCCACCCCATAGCACCAAAGTGGTCCTCTTCTCAGCTTTTCTGCTAATCTCAATTCGTACCTATGGGGCAAACATGATCAGTCAACCATAAGGCATTTTGACAAAGAACCAATTTTAAATTTAAACTGTTCTACATTCATTAAAGAAATAGGGATTGTAATCAAGACATGTTAGTCTCAATTCTAACAAATGCAGTTTGTCTTCCTAAATAGTATCTGTAGTTTTTACTGGATAAAATATTTTATTTTCTTAGGCCACTTGTATTTTGTGTTTCACCCTAGAAGTAGATGAAAATATGGTGAAACTACAGGAGCAAATAAGTAAGGGTTTACAACTCTTCATCCAACTACACAATTATGTTCTTTGCAGGAGGGATATGAAAACATGTCAGTGTTCTCTTACTGTGGTATAGGAGATTTAATGTTTCATTCCTTAAGAAAGGGGCGTGCCAGAGGGCAGAACAGCACAGTGAATCCGAGTGTGAACTCTGGATTCAGAGTGGCTGCATTCAGGCCCTAATATGCAAATCATTGTCAGTGTCATTATAGAGTTGTTCTGAGGACTAAATAACAGAATACAGGTAAAATACTTAGCACAATTTCTGGCACATAGTAAACATTCAATCAAGGATAATTATTTTGTTACAGCTGATATGTTAAAAAATACTTTACATTTTGAAAAGACCAAATTTGAAACTCATCCTCCTTTAAGGGAGTTCAAGTTTAACTGATCACATTCCTAATGGCCTTAAATTTACTGAGGATAACCTTGAGATACTGGTTATTTTTAAAGAAATCAGAAAAAGCACAATATTATTTGTTGCCTTTCTTAATCTCTGAGAGTCTGATTTCTTAAAATGAAAGTATTTGCATCATCATTAAAAAATAAGATAATTATAAATTCAAGATAATTATGAATTATCATGAATATTCTTCTATTGCATTTTAGATCTATAGAATCATTCTTAACAGCTGCAAAATAATCCATAAATATTAATTCTTAACTTGGCTAAAATCATTACCCATTACGTTCAGAACTTTTCCCAAGCAGCAATTATTTCAATTTTTGTTGCAAAGGTAGTAAATCTGGTTAAGGGCAGAAATTTAGACTTCAAAGTTCTATGTCCTTTAATTCCTTTTTAAGTCTTTTCTTAGCTTTGACCAGAAATTTTTTATGGTTCAGTCCCCAAAGACAAGGGACTAGTTTGACTGACATTAACTCAATTACCAAAAGAGACAGATGAAAAAAAAAGCAAACATCTATATTCTTGAAAAATTACTGGTGAAGAGGAAGGTCTGAGATTTGAATTGGCACCTTTTCCAGGGGAGCCAGTTGCTCTTTGAGATCCTCTAATCTTTCAATAAGCTCCCTTTCCTTGTTTAACTGGTGCTGCTCGATGCACAGTGTGGTGTACAGCTGCTGGACGAGTGTCTTTACATCGTTCAGTGTTGCTGCATTTTCGTGGCTTAAGAGGTCTGAAAAAGAGGGGTTACAGTTTTTAAAGGTACGCCTTGGCTGGAGAATTGCTCTTCCCGGGCCTATTAGACAATGATGAGAACAAGACAGAGTCATCCACTACAGAGAACCCACCATCAGTTTTTTAAAGGAAGGGATAGTTCCTTTAAAATTTTTTTTAATGTTTATTTATTTTTGAGAGAGAGAGAGCGAGAGAGAGAGCATGAGGGAGGGACAGAGAGAGAGGGAAACACAGAATCTGAAGCAGGCTCCAGGCTCTGGGCTGTCAGCACAGAGCCCAACGCGGGGCTTGAACCCATGAACTGTGAGATCATGACCTGAGCCGAAGTTGGATGCATAACCGACTGAGCCACCCAGGAACCCTGAAAGTTCCTTTTTTATTTTTTTATTTTTTATTTATTTTTAAATTTTTAAAAATGTTTCATTTATTTCTAGGAGAGAGAGAGACAGCGTGAGCAGGGGAGGGTCAGAGAGAGAGGGAGTCACAGACTGAAACAGGCTCCAGGCTCCGAGCTGGCAGTCAGCACAGAGCCCGACGCGGGGCTCGAACCCACTAACCTTGAGATCATGACCTAAGCGAAAGTCGGACGCTTAACCGACTAAGCCACCCAGGCGCCCCTGAAAGTTCCCTTTTTAAAAAGAGGCATCTACAAATCCTAGAAAGTAAGTTCATATTTGGGCAAATTGAGAATTTTGAAGCCAACATCTACCATTATATTCTTGGAAGTCAAAATGCTACAAAAAAGGCTACAAGTAATAGTAATCTTCATTAGATAAAAAATTTAAGGCAGTATATTAAAAACTAGTAGAGAGGTTCAGAATCAATCTGATTATTATGCTCATTAAAATGCTTCTCTAGAATTTATCTGTGGTCTTGCCATTTCAACTGGTGATTTTCTTCCTGTTTAGCACCTGAGGAAAAAATACACAGTATTTCAAATTTGCAAATACAAATGTATAAATAAAAATATAATTATCCTAAAAAGATTAGCCTCCATACACCTTCCCCCATACCAACTTTTATTTATTCCTGTTGGGAAAAGACACAGAATGGCAGTTTGGACTTCAATATCATGTTTTAGAGGGCATGAAGTTAAGAGAATGATTGAAAGGTAAAAGATTAAATTCTTTTTAATTTAATTCAACATTTTCTTCTAAGAACAGCATGTGTTTCCAGAAATCTAAAAATTATGTTTTGAGAATATAATAAAAAATCAACTATCTGAGCTGTCAAAGAATAAAAAAAAAACACACAAGAAATAAAGCTTTTGTTTTCAAATCTTATTAGCCTTGGGAGGCCTGGGTGGCTCAGCCAGTTAAGCATCTGACTCTTGATTTCAGCTCAGGTAGGATCTCACGGTTTGTGAGACTGAGCCTCATGCTGGGCTCTGTGCTGACAGTGCAGAGCCTGCTTGGGATTCTCTCTCTCCCTCTCTCTCTATGTCCCTCTCCTGCATGTACACGTGCTCTCTCTCTCTCAAAACAAACAAACTTAAAACAAAAATTAAACTATTAAAAAAATCTTATTAGCCTTAAATGTGACATTTTGTTAGGTAGAGCATAAGGTCAGTCCTTTTCTAATGCAAAATAAGCCACAGTCAGAATTAGCTATGTATTTAAACTTTTTTCAAGGATGTCCTTTAGTACAGTTAATCAAAAAATTCAATCAATGAAAAATTCAAATAAGGACAGTGAATTGGATTACAGAAGAGCTGATACAGTAAAATGGGATATACCTAGGACAGTATCTTGCAACTTCAGTAAATATGTGCTGAATTAATGGGAACAGACAAAAGCAAGAGCGCCCTGAGTTCTAGAAGTCATCTATGTCAACACGGTTTTCTTTCAATGGAAGCCATAGCTCATATTTGCATATGGCTTTACATTTTCCAAAGTTACCAGGAGAGAAAGCTGCACTCTAGAAGGCAGTAATTTGTTAGGAATATCACAGTGGAGCAGTAGTTAGGGTCCATGTTTCCTGATCCCATGACTGGAATGGAGTTATAACGTTTCTACCATACAATAATATTTCTCCTGAAAGCGTGTTCCCCTTTCAAAAGACAATTCCTTAAGTAGTGATCAATTATCTATGATTAATGAAATCTTTTCACATATATTATATCTCATGTTATCCTCACAGTAACAGGAGTAAACTTGGTGCCCAAAATTTATAAATGAGGAACTTGAATCCGAGAAGTAAGTTTAACAAATGTATTTGTATTAGTTACTGATCTAGTCACTACAGAGGAAAAAAACAAATCTGAGGTGGTTGTTCTCCTTAATGAGGTCTAATAATATTCATGAAATTGCAGAACCAGTAGGGAGTAGACAAAGATCTGACTGGGAGTCCATTGGCTTTCTTATTTTATGCTCTTTTTCCATTTTAATTTTCAACACTTTAAGTACTGTGTGGGGAATAAGTTTAGGAATTCCCTGAATTTACACCAATGGGTTAACAAGGTTTAGGATGAAAGCATCTCAGATTAGGTAAAGAAGGTGGAGGCACCCCCAGTATAGAACAAAAGCACAGAGGAACAGGAAGCCACAAGATGAAAGCATCCAAGATTAGGTAATCAAGGATACATAATCAGGGCTGAGGGAGCACCCTCCACCCCCAACTTTGTACAACAGCAGAAAGCTGCTTTCACAGGAGGGAAGGACCAGAACAGGTAAACAGGTAAATAGGCTATAGACCACAGCAGGGTCAAGTTGCCTGAAGCAGAGCTACTTAGCAAAACAAAGGTACCTTGTTGACCCTGAGGTAGCATGCTCGGTCTGTCTTATCCCCTAGGTAAGCTAAGATAAACAGACTTGCCCAGTGTCTGCTGTAAACAACCACTTGCCTGTACCAGGATTTTGTTTTGTATTGACCCAAACCCCTTATACTACATATCTCAAAACCCCCTTTCTCTCACACACAAGCTAAGGTTCACAGTTTCATTGTCGCTTTCTGCATGTCCATCACGTGTGTAAGCCTTCTGATCCTAGTAAAAAGGGAGCAAGGACTCTTCCTCGGGACTCGTCTCCTCCTGGACATTAGCCTCTCTCGCATCTTAATCCTGTGTCCACTCTCTTGCTGGATAAGAGAGAACTCCAGACCCAGAGTCTATGACAGTACTGTATTTGCTCAGACGTCCAAGGAAGGGAGGGAGGGGGAGGGAGGAAGAGAAGAAGTGAGGGGAGGAAGAAAAAAGGAAAAGAAGTAAGCAAAACTAAACAATTTCTTCTCTTCCTTTTCCTAATGGAGCATGGATATGTTAATGATCAAACATGTAGAGATAATCATTTCAAGTTATGATTATCCTGAAAATCCATAAAATTGGAAATCAGGCTTGGAAACTGTTTTACAAAAAAGTCTCTATTAGAATATTATTCATTGAAACCTGTTAGTTTAAAAATTAATCTTTGTATTATGGGCTTTGCTGTGTAGAAAACTTATTTTTGGTATCAGTCTTTTCTTTTATGGTTTCAGGGTTTTATGTTATAGTTAGAAAGCTCTTTTTCACTTTAAGGTTATAAAAAATATTTCTCTTTTGATTGTCTTTCATTATTTTTAATATTCTTTTTCTTCTTCAAAATCTAAGTTTTTGATCCACATATTCTTTGACACAGTCTTCCACTTCCAGGTATTTTTCTTACATATACACTCAGAGACTTCCTAAGTGACACATATTCAAGATTATTCAATGCTACAATATATACACTACAGCAAAAGATGAAAGCTAAATAAAAGTCCATCAAAAAATTCTAAAATAAGCAGTTAAGTAAATGGTGATATACATTCATACAATGCAGTACATGTGCAATACAATGTGAAAAAGAATGAGGAATTCTTTATGTACTGGTATGATAAGATTTTCAGAATACATCATTAGATGAGAAAAGCAGTTTGGTGGTTTTATACCTTGTCAATCTAGCCAAACTGGAATTATGTTTTCCAAAATACCCATCCCTGCATGGTTCAAAGATAGTGTTAACCAAATGAGAAATTCAAGTGAGATTTTGGAAGGCAGAAGCGATGCAGAAGCCATTATGATCTGAAGGCTGTCGTGGGTAGTAGTGAGAGATGCAGGTGCCTAGAGATGCCAGCTTGTGCTTGTTTTCCCGTGCTCTGCATCTGGCTCTTTTTTCTCAACTGCTACCTCTGTTGATGAATGGCACACCCAGGCCCACAACCAGATGCAGCCTTCTAGAGCTCTGCTGTCCAAAACAGTAACCATGAGTCACATGTAGCTATTTAAGTTTATATTAACATAAAATTTAAAATTCAGTTCACCAGTCACACTAGCCATATTTCAAGGGTTCAATAACCACATTGACTAATGTCTACCATATTGGACAGTGCAAAAATGGAACAGATACATTATCATAGATAATGTATCTATCTAGCAGCACTGTCTTAGGGATTTCTCTATCAGTCTTCCTTCACAGCCCTATCCTAATAGTTAGATGTATCCGAATTTCCAGGTTCCTTCGCAAGCTTTGATTAATCTCCCCATGCCATCACTTTAAAATTAGTGATTTTTTGTGGAAACTAATTTGACAACAAACTATTTGTAAAAAAAATAAATAAATAAAAAAATAAACATTAAAATTTTTTTAAAAATTAAAAAAAATAAATAAAAGTTATTTAGCAACAGAAAAAAAAAATAAAATAAAATTAGTGATTTTTTTCTGACCTTCCAAGCTCCAATTTTCACGCATCCTTTTTTTCACTGAAGTTTTTATTTAAATCCCAGTTAGTTAACATACAGTATATACTGGTTTCAAGTGTACAATATAGTGATTCAACAATTCCATACATTGCTCAGGGCTCATCAAAACAAGTGCATTCCTTAATCTCCTTCACCTGTTTAGCCCATCTCTCTAGCCCTCCCCCCCACTTCTAGTAACCATCAGTTTGTTTTCTTTCTTTCTTTTTTTTTCTTCATCAGTTTGTTTTCTAACTATCAGTCTGTTTCTTGGTTTGCCTCCCTCTCTTCTCTCGCTGTTTTTCCTC